TGGTGGGCACCCCCGAAGCTGGCTGGCTTCTCTGCGCCCCACCCCCTCATTTCTCAGGAAGCCCAGACATCTCTGGATCATGCTTTTGGACCAGCTCTTCACATGGCTGTTGCACCCACCTCTGCTACAGCCAGGGAACTGTGCGTGCACCCTGACTCTGCAACCTAGACTTGGTTGATTCTCCCAGGGTAACAGCTCCAGGAATGTCCTTTTTCTGAGGGCTGCTGGGACATGGTATCTGTGGGCAGAACGCAGGAGCACTGCATGCAGGAGTCTGAGTTTCAACCCTGCCATTGCAGAAGCCTCTGGCGGCACTTGAGTGAGTCTGGAGAACTAAGTTGGGGTAAGAGAGGAGAGAAGAGGAAAAGAAGGGAGGGGAGGGGAGGGAAGGGAAGGGAAGCAGGTGGCAGGAAAGGCCCCCAATGTGAGGAGATGTCACAGAGAGGAGACCTGCCTTGCAAGAGAATGGATACGGACGCCAGCCTGGAGCCCCTGGATCCAGCCAGGCCTGAAGCAGGCTCTCTGAAAACAGTCCTAGGAGAGAACGTTCCTGCACATTGATGATCTGCCACTTTATCTAAGTCTCCTTGACAAGAAAAGTAAAAAGCCAAAGAGAGGTGAGAGCACCTCAAGTGGAGGCAGATTACTAAGAGCAGATATATAAACCCTACTAAAAGCAGATATATGAGCCCTACTAAGAGCAGATATATGAACCCTACTAAGAGCAGATATATGAACCCTACTAAGAGCAGATATATGAACCCTACTAAGAGCAGATATATGAACCCAGACGCCACAAGCTTCCCTCCCCAGATAAGACCAAGGAAGTAGAGAAACTCCCTTTTATTCTTTTGTTTCCTTTTTGGTTTAGTGGAAGGCTGGGTCACACCTGGCTGTGCGCAAGGACTACTCCTGGTTCAGTGCTCAGAAGTCACACTGTTAGAGGCTGGGGTACCAGTGATGAGGTTCTCAGGAGCTCCTTCCAGCTCAGTGCTCAAGGATGGAAACTGGGGCTCCCACAAGGGTATTCAGGAGCTACCCTCACCTGTATTCAGGGATCACTCCTGGCAGTGGTTTGGGGGGACAGGGAATCAGGTGGTACTGGGGTCAGCTGTATGCAACTGACCTTATCCCCTTTCCTAATTCTTTATCCCCCCACCCAAAGTTGCTTTTTGGTTTGTTTTGGGGCCACAGCCTGCAGTGCTCAGGGCTGATTCCTGGCTCTTCACTAAGAAGCGCCCCCTAGTGGTGCTTGGAGATTACTCCTGGGTCTGTGCTCAGGGGTTCAGGGGACCCTGTGGAGTGCTGGGGATCAAACCCAGATGGCAGGCTGGAGCCCTCAAGGTAGGGCATCTGCTTTCCACACAGCTGAACTGCGTTCAATCTCTGGCATCTCACAGCACCACCAGGAGTAATTCCTAAGTACAGTACCAGTAGTGACCCCTGAGCATTGTCGGGTGTGGCCCCAAAGCAAAAACAAACAAGGAAAAAAACAGATCGCCCATATGCAAGGCAAGTACCCTGCCTGCTATATTCTCTTGCTGAAAATGTTTTTCATGCCAGCAGATTTCTCCTAGGTTTGTATTGTTTATTGTTATGAGACCCTCCCAGCAGTGCTCCTGGGGTCGGAGCTCCCCAGAGAGTTGCAGGAGAGGGAAGAAGAGTATCCTGAGGTGCTGAGATCAAACTCTGGGGCTCACACTTGCCAAGTCTCTGCTCAAGTCCTGAACCATAGCTCTGGCCCTTCTGGGCAGTGTAAGAGGACACTGGGCCACAACTGGCGGTGTTCAGCAGCTACTCCTGACTCTGTGCTCAGGAATACCCCCTGGTGGTGCTTGGAGGATAGTCCCAGTTCTGTGCTCAGTGCTCAGCAGTGACCCCTGGTGGTGCTTAGAGTAAAGCACATGCAAGTGCCTTCGCCCCTGTGTTCTCTTCACCTCCCCCTTCTCTGGGGTCCTGAGAATGAAGGATGATGGGAAACTTGCCCAACCCTACGTGGCCCAGGTTGTGTGGAGCAAACCCTTTCACCGCAATCTCCCTCACTATTTCTTGTGCTTCACACAAAGGTGAGTTTGAACTGTCCTGGGAGCCTCTCTCATGCACATGGAGCATCAGGTCTGGAGAGAAGGCACGCGGGGAAGATGCTCACCTCCATGGAAGCAGTTCCCACACAGCACCGCCGGGCTGGCAATCCTAGCAAGGGCGACCCCAGTCAATACCCTGAAAATGTGACCGTTTCTTCAGAAACAATGGGGTAGACAGATCCTTGTGACCCACATGGTCTTTTTCTTGAGTGCACAATTCTGCCTGTGGCCTGATTTGGGGGAGCAGAATCCCCCAGCCCTCTCCCCCCCCACCCCTCGACTCACAGTCTAGATTGTGAGCAGCTCAAGCTTCACTCCTCATAGAACTTGCTTGGGGAGAGGCCCATGACTTAGTGGAGAAGAGAAGTACCAAAATTGACCGCTGTCAGGGTGCAATACCAGAATGAGGCTCCTTCTCTATGGTTGAGGACAGGAAGACCCTTCCATAACACCCCCCCCAACTTAGCCAGTGGGCTCATTACTAAAGCACAGAAGGGCTTAAAGGGTTAAGGAACGGGGACTGGAGTGATAGTAAAATGGGGAGGGGGTGCTTGCCTTGCATGCAGCTGACCCAGGTTTGATCCCTGGCATCCCACATGGTCCCCAAGCACTGCCAGGAGTGACTCCTGAGTGCAGAGCTAGGAATAAGCCCTGGGCACAGCTGGGGATGGTTCGAAAAACAAATAAGTGGGGAAAAAAAAAGTGGTTCTGGAGAGGGACTAAGGAATTAACAGATACCAAATCAAGAAAGATGGAAGGTGGGGGAGAGGAAAAAAAAAAAACAGAAATTGTCTCAAAGGCCACAACTGTCTCCACATCCAAGGACACTCAGGCGAGCTTCAAGCCCTCTTCCAGGCGCAGCTTTGGTGTTTTGTTGTCATTGTGGGAAAGGGATTTGGCATATCTAGAGGCAGAAGGTGGGGGTTAGAGGGCGGATTCCTGGCTCTGGGCTCAGGACACCACCCCCCACCCCGGTGGTGCTGGGGGTGGGGGGTGGGTGTGCTCCTGGCTGTGTGCTCAGGAGCGCCCCCTGGTGGGACTCAGGGGCTAGTCCTGGCTCTGTGCAGTGAGCCATCAGCTGCCCCTTGAGCCCACGCAGCACCCCCTCAACCCAGACAGACATAACTCTGCTGGACCCATGAATGAGTGAAGGGACAGAATGAATGAATGATACTATGGCCAAGCCTTTCCCCCACAGACTCCCCGTTAGAAATTCATCAGGAGGCATGAGTGTGTATAAGGGGGAGGGGGGACGGGGAAGCCCTGTGTTCTGGATCCTGGCCAAATTCTCGCCTCTACCCATCCTCTTACTCAGCCATCACTTGCTTATCCCCCAAGGCCACGACGCAGACTGCCTGTAATTGCCAAAACTCCGCTCCAGGGAGCAATCAGATCCAGTCCAGGAAGCCGAGGAGACTCCTTGGAGACACCCCAGGAACCCCAAAGGGTTTTCCCAGACCACCCTCCCCAAAGACATTTATAGCTCGTTGCATTCCTCCCCAGAACTCTAAATGACATCCAGTTCACCGCAACTGGGATTTTCAAAGCAACAAGTGACATTTCCTGTAGCTCCATAAAAAGAATGTGCAGCCGGCGGCGGTGGGTTGGCAGCAGCGGTGCTGGGGGGCCAGTATAATTGCCAGGCCTGCAGCAACAGGAGGGGGCTGAGGACTGGGGAGACTGAGAGGGAGCCCAGAGGGGCTGCACCCCCGAGCATCAAGTAGAGCCAAACCCTTGGTGGTCGGCTTTACAACTGCACCCCTCATTCAGAAATAGAAAGCCGCAGTGGCTTGCTGAGTGCCAGGCCCCTGGGCAGCCAGACGGGCACCGCCAATGTCAGCTTCCTCCCTCAGCATCCAGCATCGATCCCTCCTTCTACCCCCACCCCCCAGGGGCCCTTCAGTGCACCCCCACACACATCAGAACCACCCCAGCATGGGAATCGCTCTCAACAAGGTGGGGGGGGCAGGTCACCTTCTGCCCCAAGTTTCTTGCCTGCCCTTTGGGGACTATGGCTGACACTTCCCAAATCTCCCACTTGGCGAGAGATACAGAGAGAGAGAGAGAGAGAGAGAGAGAGAGAGAGAGAGAGAGACTTTTCCAAGAGCCAGCTGGTGTCGGACAGGAAACCACAGCATCGAAAAAGCCGTGGCTCCCGGTCAGCCAGGGGACAGCAGAGGATTCAGTGGGCATTATTTCAGCCTCACTGGTCAATTCTGCTCGAGGGTGGGGGGGAGAGAGGTGATGTCTTAGACACACAAATGTAACCCAGGCTCAAACACACAGGGACACACACTCCAGAGACTTCTGCTGCACCAGCCCCTCCAGAAAGACACTGGCCTGAGAGATCCGTGAGTGCTGGCCACACCAGAGCGCAAACAGGTATACAGAGCTGAGACACTTTGCACAAATTGCGATGTGCTAACCCCAAGGCTGAGGCCTGAGACCTAGCGATGGGCAGGCGGTAAAAATCCACACTGGTATCCCGGAGAGGCTATTGGACAGCCAGGGCTGGTCCCGCCCCCTGCATAAATATCACCCCGCCCCGGCCCCATCATTGGGCAACCGGGCTGGGCCCCAGCCCCTGCATAAGTAACCCCCTTCTGGCCCAGCCATTGGACACTAGGACCCAGCCCCGCCCCCCCAACTGCATAAATATTGCACCGCGCCCCCCCCCCCCCCCCGCCCTGCCGTTGGACACCAAGAACTGCCTAGCCTGCATAAATACTGTGCCCTCTGGCCCCGTCACTGGCCACGCGGGCCGTCCCTCCACAAGAGGGGGCTTCTGCAGGGCGCCACCCGTGTACGGCTTACCTCCTACGTCACGCCCCCCTTCCTGAGATCCGCCCCTCCCGCGCCCCGGGACTGCCCCCTGTCTGGGGACCCTGGGGGAGTGCCCGAGACACACGCACTCACCAGGCCGTCGCAGTTGCTCAGTGCCACGGAGGAGGCTTCGGGGCGACCCGCCACGTCCCCGACATACACGCAGGTCCCCAGCAGCGGCTCCACGCGGAGGGCGGCGCCCGCCTCGTCCTGCCACTCCACCGTGGCCCCCGGTGCCACGAGGCGAGAGTTGGGGCGCAGCCGCAGGTGCAGGTCTCGGCCGAAGACCGTGACGTTGTAGAAGAGGGAGCCGCGGGGGTCGTCGGGGGGCGCGGCCCGGCGAGCGCGGACCCCCGCCCCGCCGGGCGCCGCCGACACCACGTGGGACAGCCAGCGGCCCTGGGCGTCAGTGCGCACGGGGACCGCCAGGCTGCGCTCGGCTCCGCGCCCCGGGAGCTCACCTGCAGCGGGGACGGGGAGTTGCGGCGCCGGCGAGCCCGCGCCCCCCACCCCTGGCATGCACCCCTCCGGCAGCGCGAGCGCGCATGCAGGACCTCCGTCCCCGGCCCGCGGCGCCCGCGCGCCACCCCCACCGCACCCGTCCCATCCAGACAGGGGCTCCCGGGCTTCGCCAAGTCCCTCCACCGCCAGCCCGAGGCCGGCCCTTCAGGATGTAGCGACATCCAGGCGGCGGGGGCTCCGGCCACGCCACTCGCGGCGCGGGGAGCCCCGATTTCCCGTGCGCCTTCCAGCCCCCACCGCCTCGCCCCGCACGGCTCGGCGTCCGGAGCGCGAGGCTGGCTCCGGGGCACGGGTGGCCTGTCCCCGGCTCCCGGCAGCCCCTCTCCTTACTCTTGCCAACCCGCGGAGGGGTGCGGCGGGGGCCGGACCCGATCCCCGGGGCTCCGAGGAGCCCAGCCGCCGCCGCCCCGGCGCCCCAACTCTCCCCTCCCCGACCCGCCCGCGGGGACTGGGCCCGGGTCCGGGGCGCGCGCGGGGAGCCGCCGGGGGGCGCGCGGGGTCGGCACCCGCCCCCCGCCCGCCGCCGCCCGCCCGCCCGCCGCGCCCCGCGCGACCGCCCGGCCTCGAAGTTGGACAACTTGGCCCGGGGCGGGCGGGGCGCGCGCGCGTCGCCCGAGTCGCGCCGGGGAGGGGGCGCGGGCGCACCTACCCGGGGCGGCGGGCGGCGGCGGCAGCGGCAGCAGCGGCCGGAGCAGCAGCAGCAGCAGCAGCGGCGCGAGGCAGAGCTGGCGGCGGGCGGCCCGCGCCTCCTCCATGGTGGCCGCCACGCCGCAGCCCGGGCCCCGCACTCGCAGCCGGCGCGAAAGTTGCCCGCGCGCCGCCGCCGCTGCCCAGCCCACATCTGGGGGCAGCTGGAGCCGCCGCAGCTGCAGCACCGCAGGGCGCGGGGCGGAGGAGGCGCGGCGCCGCGAGGGCGGGGAGCGCCGGGAGGCGGGGCAGAGGCGGGCGGGAGGGCGGCCGGGCGGAGGCGGCGGCGCGCCGAGGGCGGGCGGCGGGCGCTGCGCTGCCTGCGGTGACCCGGCGGCCCGGCCCGGCCGGGCCCAGACACCCCGCCGCGCCCGGCTGCGAGCGGGCTCCGGCCGGCAGCCCCGGGACGCGGTGCGGGAGGCCCCGGGGTCCCCAGGGGGATCCAGGAGGCGGGAAGACGCTTTTCCAAGGACTGGGCGGAGATTTGCAAAGACCATCTCCAAGAGCAACTTTTGCTGCTTTGCTTTTTCTTTCTTTTGCTTTTTTTTGGGGGGGTCACACCCGGCTCTGCACAGGGGTTACTCCTGGCTCTGCATTCGGGAATTACTCCTGTTGTGCTCGGGGGACCACATGGGATGCTGGGAATCGAACCCTTGTCGGCCGGGTGCAAGGCAAACGCCCTTCTGCTATCGCTCCAGCCCCCTTCTTTTTCTTTTTCTTTTTTTTAATCTCCCCCCCCCCAGCTGGGCGGGCGGGAGTGGGGGGTGGGGGCCACACTCAGAGGTGCTCAGTACTTAATCCGATGGTGGTCAGGAATCCAAAGTGGTGCCACGGACGGAACCCGAGTCAGCGGAGCTCAAGGCAAAAACCCTCTCTGCATCCCCAAGATCAACTTTTTTATTTGTTATTTTTTGTTTGTTCGGGGTTAAGGCCACACCCAGAGGTGCTCAGGGCTGACTCCTGACTGTGCTTTGGGATCCTGGAGGTGCTCAGGGAATCCTGGAGGTGCTCAGGAAATCAAATGTGATGCCCAGGCTCCAACTCACAAGATAAAGAGCCCCCCGCTGCACACCCAAAATCAACTTTTTTTTTGTTTTGTTGGGGGTTTTTTGAGAGAGGGGAGGGATTAGGCCACACGTAGTGGTTCTCAGGGCGAGAGCCCCCAAAATCAATTTATTTTGTTTATTGGAAAGGGAGTTGGGGGGAGACGGATTAGGCCCACCTGGTGGTGCTCAGGGCTTACTCTTAGCTTTGTGCTCAGAAGTGTCTCTGGTGGGGCTTGGTGAGGCCATGTACAAGGCTTCCTTCCCCTCTGTTCCCCGCCCCCCCCCCCACCACCAACTGTCACCATTACAGAGATGGGACTTCCTGGGAACTCCAACTCCCTCTCTCCATCTGGACCCCCTGCCCCCAAACCTTTCATTCACACCTGTCTTCTTCTTGTCCCTAAATCTCCCATGCTACTTTCCCAAAGACTGCTGCCCTTTGTCCTCCCCAAACCAACCTAAAATCATCTTTGTTCCGTGTATGATGGGGTGCTCTGACCCCACCAGCACACACATGCAGACCCCACTTCTGGAAGCTCTCCTGGGGTAAACACTTCAGTTCAGTGACCCTGATCCCTGACCTGTCCCTAGCTGTAACTTTTGAGGAAGCTCAAGGTTGGCACAGTACTTTTCTTTTCCTTTTTTTTTTTTCTTTTTGTGTCACACCCGGCGATGCACAGGGCTTACTCCTGGCTCTGCACTCAGGAATTACTCCTGGCAGTGCTTAGGGGACCTTATGGGATGCTGGGAATCGAACCCGGGTTGGCCGCCTGCAAGACAAATGCCCTACCCTCTGTGCTATCGCTCCAGCCCCTGGCACACTCCTTTTCAACTGTCCTCCGTTCCCTCTATCACAGGAGCTCGCACCAGCGCACTGCAAGCAAATTTATTATCAACCTTAAAGATTTCTGAAGTGGATGGAAGAGATGGTCCAAGAATGCCTGAAGGCCCTTGTGGTTCCTCCCCCAGGCACCACCAGGGGTCATTGCTGAGCAAAGAGCCCGAGTCAGCCCTGAGCACAGCCTGTGTGACCCCAACACCAAACAGAAATATCCTCAGAGTCCAGGGAGACAGGGAGTTCGGTGCCTTGCACGTGGGCTGACCCAGGTTCCACCCCCATGGAGTTCCTCAAGACCCACCAAGAGTAATCCCTGGGCACTGCCTAGTGTGGCCTAGAAACAAAAATAAAATTAAATTTAAAACTCCCCAAACTCAACTTCTGAGGCTTTCCTGAAGTACATTCAGGCCTGGGCCTGGCATTTCTGTTGGTGAAGTGGGGAAGCATCTGTCCTGAGGTTTGCCCTAACTCCCCACCCCTCCCAGCCCCAGTTCCCATTTTAAGCAGACTTCTGATAAGAAAATTGAATGCCCTATGGAAAGAGGGGTAACCTTAAAGGTAGGTGCCCTGGAGGGCTTTCTGTAAGAAGTGACTTGGATTGCCCCGGGACAGTGGAGAGAGTTGGGCAGCTCAGGTAAGGTCCAGAGCTGAGCATCTGAGGACCCAGATGCCTCTTCCGTCCCGCCATGATCTGCACTCTGGTCCTTGTCCAGAGATGAGGAAGATCCAGTCGGCAGCCTCTTAAATTCAGAGGTTTTCTACGACCTCAGGCACCTCTTTGCCCTATTATTTGCGGTTCTTACCACCCTCACGATTTCCTTCACCAGACCTTTTATTCCTTACTCACTCAGGAGACTTTGAACGGCTGCTGAATGGAAGAGCCATCATCTCAATTTCCCTTGAAGATAGCTACCAACGTAAATAAGATGAAAAAAAAAAATCAAACCTGCTATTGGGGCTGGAATGATAGCACAGCGGGTAGGGCGTTTGCCTTGCATGCGGCCCGACCCAGGTTCGATTCCCAGCGTCCCGCATGTCCCCCGAGCACGGCCAGGAATAATTTTTGAGTGCATGAACCAGGAGTAACCCCTGTGCATCGCTGGGTGTGACCCAAAAAGAAAAAAAAAAAAACAAAACAAAAATCAAACCTGCTATCAAAAACTAGAGACTCCTGGTCTGCTGATGGTGGGGGACGGAGGATGAAGGCAGTGATCGTGAGTTAGGAACAGTGGAAAAAACAGAAGCAGACGTGAAAAACTGTCCTCGCTACAATCAGGAGGAGGAAAAACAAAAATTGCTAGTTGACAGTTATGATCCAAAGAGTCCACGTGGCTAAACAAATGTGCACCGTTTTAGAAAAGCAACTCAAGGATTTTTCATTTTTTAAATAAAGTGGTGGGATTTTGCTCCCAACACTCTTGTGTAACCCTGGGCAGCTGTTACATTCTGTAATTGAGTACCCTTTTTTCTCCACCCAGAGATTCTAAGTGGCAGGCAGACCATAGCCAAGTAACCAGTCCCCTTGATGTTCTGCAGGGATGAATGGATGAATCAGACAAGCCTGGGCAGAAAATTTTAAAATTAAGTTCTCCACAGAGTGGGTCCCTGGTAGATAAACCCCAGTTTTCTGCGGACCAGTCTTTAGCTTTATATATATGAGAGATAGTACAGTTGGTAGGGCACAGCTTTGCATAGGTCAGCACAGGTTCAATCCCCAGCATCCCTTATGTTCCCATAAGCACACTGCCAGGAGTCATTCCTGAGCAGAGAGCCAGGAGTAATGCCTGAACATTACCTGGTGTGGCCCCAAACCAAGAACATATATGTGTGTGTGTGAAAATAATGTTTCTTGCTTCACAGATGTCTCTCTTTCTCTAGTATATGCCTGTTTATCTCTTTCTGCCCACCTCCCTTCCTTCTCCCCCAGCTGAAATGTGGGGCACAAAATCATCAGGCACTTTTTGCTCATCTGCTTCCCAGTGTAGATTCCAAAGACACCAGAGACTTGGGAGAAAGTTGGTCTCATGCCTTACTCAGTGTGTTGCATTTTCTTGTGTGGACATTGCACAGGAATGGTCTGGTTCTATGGCGCTGGACACAGTCCCCACCACTTCCTATTGCCTATCACCTGCTCGTCGTCACTCGGATGAGTTTAGGATGAGGGGATGGGAGAGACTGAGAAGTCCAATGGGTCAAGGATTTTTCATCCAAGATGAAGTTTCAGGCCAACTGCGGTTCTCAGCAAAAGGGGGACCTGCCTGCAGGGCCCCACAAGCCCTGAGGGTCTCAGTAACCTTGTCAAGGGGGCGTCTGGAGATGGCACTAAGACCCCCCCCCCTCCCCGTGCGGATGGCAAAGTAGCCTGGGTGCAAACGAAGGTGCAAATGCGGAGGGAGGGCCCAACTCATCAAGACCTCTGATTGGGCGCTCATTTACTGTGACGGTCTATTGGCTGACCCATAGCTACCAATCAGAGAACAGAAACTGCTAAGGACGGATGTCTCCTTAGAAGAAGCTCCAGTTGCTGCATTGTGGTGGTGAAATTGAGGAAAGCGGTGCTGGAGGGAGCTATATTAGAGGTGGGTGTTTGTCGATCCTGGTTGTTCCCCTTACAGCTGCTGCCACAGTGACACCATCACACAGTCAGCCCGTAGAAATAAACCTTTGTGTCCTGAAAGTCAAGAGTACACTGGTCGCTGTAGGGCGATTCCCAGCATATCTTACGGTCCCCTGAGCACCACTGTAATTCCTGAGTGCAGAGCCACGAGTAATGAACTCCAGAACTTACTCAAATTGGAGTCTAGCAGAGGTTTGGTCCACTGCCCCTATTTAGGAAAAAAATCAATTTAGCTCACCCCTGAAAATCTACCTGCTGGATTTTTGGGAGAGGGGTCAAACCCAGCAGTGCTCAGGGCTCATTCCTGGCTGTGTTCAGAGCTGACTCTTGGCTCTGTGATCATGGATCACTCCTGGGTCTGTGCCTGTACACAGGTATACACGTGTGTACACAGGCACAAATGAGTGTGCATACAGACACACATACACATCCATGTATACATAGACACATATACATGTACATGGGCATACATGCATGTACACAGGCACACAAGAAGGTGTGCAGACATACACAAGTGTATACACAGACACATATGCATGTATAGGGCATGCATACATGTGTATTACAGAGATACAAAAGTGCACACAAGACACATAAACAGATGCATGCACAGACACATATACACATGTTTGTA